GATTCAATCTTTGTACAACTTACTGTAAAAAGGTAACAACTTTCTCATCAATTGAAATAAGATCAAATCATAAACAGATACAGATTAATCAATCTTCTCAAACCCAAAGAAAAAACATATATCACAAATTCTACACAAGCAAACACATAATAAGAACAGAATTAAACCCAAAACCAATACTTATATTTGGTTATGGAGAAGAGTTTGAACCGTTGTTGGCTTTGTTCTTCTCCACTGGAGACAAAGGAGAGAAGGGACTGAGAGGAAGAAACAAAGGAGACGACTTTAGAGGACGAGAGAGGGGATAAAGTAGGTTTCTGTTTAATATCGTCTCTGAAGAAGATATGAATCACAAATCAAGTCACGAATAAGGGTTTTTACTCGAATCGGAGAAAGAGAGATGGCGATGGTGGTGACGAGCTGGTGGTGGTGGTGGTAAAGAGCGTCGGTTTCAAAAGGAGTGTGGTGGTGAAGCTTCAATCGACGGTGGAGAGAGAACCTGAGAATTTGAGGAAGCCTATCTGAGACTTGCTCTGGTTTTTTTTTATGGAGAAGGAAAAAAAAAAAAGAAAACTCAATTATTTTGAGTATAAAGCCTAGAGAAAAAATAACTTAAAGTATTTTGATTAAAATTAAAGATATACAATAGCATTTAATTTTGGATATGCAATCTTAAGGTGCTTACATTTAGCAAATTAACGCGCCTATTTTTTTTCATTTTCCCGCGATAACAATTATAGTGTTTTAAATTGATAAACGCTATAAAAAAGTAAGTGTTAATATATAATAGCATTACTGTCATAAACGCTATAATCCGATGCTATTAATACCCATATTTTTTGTAGTGAGTACTCGTCATCCTTTTTGCTCCGCATAAATTCGTCTTTCCTTCCTCCATCATTATAAAGCCCACGCCTACATCTTTGCGAGCACTTACCCACGAAGCATCCACTTGGCATCTCCATCTTGGTGATGTTGTAGCACGTGTTTCAGGTCCATCTCTATGCTCGTTCTCCATCACCACTTCCTCCATCACAGTGACTATTTGTGCCAGAGCCCAGCTTTCGGCTTCTCTTAATGCTAGTTGAATAGTCTCCAATAGTGTATTGTCTTTATTATTAAACAGCTTCTCGTTACGCGCCTTCCATACATACCACATTATCCATGGAAACACCTTCATCATCTCTGCATTCGCTCTATAATCCTTTGCTCTTCATAATAAATAATCTATGTTCGCAAAGAGAGACCGCTTCAGAATAACCCCAGAGCTGCATGAATTGGAGATAAAGCCCAACATCACAGAACAGGAGGGCACTCGAATAAAGTGTGGTTTATAGATTCAGATTCCGCGCCACATCGAATGCATGTACTCTCATACAATGTCTTTCTTGTAGTCTCTGCGCCGTAGCCACGAATCCAGAGACAGCTTGCCAAATAAAGTTCTTTAGTTTCCTTGGAGCTTTAATCTTCCATGCTGCTTTCTTTAGCTCTGTAGTACTGGGTTCAGCAATCAGGGGCTGGGGAGTTTCCGTATGCAAATCATGAGCTACAGAGTGTCCCAATTTCACTGTATACTGTCCAGATTTTGTAAGATCCCAACTAAAGCAGTCTCTTCTTCCTATCCTGCTTAAGCGAATTGATGTGATGTGATGTGAGGTATGTCTCCAGCTGCCACCAGTGTTCCCAAAAAATTTGTGTTCCATGTATTCGTTTTCATGAGGGGGTGAACTCTCAGGTGATCATCTCTACTTGTACCGCGAACTAACGTTGGACGCGCAGGGTTTGTTGGTAGCCATGTTTCTGTCCATACCTTGGTGTCATAACCATTTCCTATACTCTTTCTTAGTCCTTGCTGCAGAACCTGTTTCCCAGCGAGAATACTTTTCCAGCCGTATGAAGGGTTTGAGGCTCTCTCCACATTCATTGGGTTTCTATGTCGATAGTATCCACCTTTCATTACTCGAGCAAGTAGAAATTTCGGGTACTTCAGTAGTCTCCAAAGCTGCTTGGCTAGTAAGGCCAAGTTAAAATCATTGAAATCTCTAAACCCTAATCCTCCCTTATCCAACGGAACAAATTTTTTATCCCAAGCCACCCAATGGAGGCCTCTGTTATCAATCTTGGTTCATCACCAGAAACGAGAGACTACACTAGAGAGGTTTTTTGTGATTCCTTTCGGTAGGAGATAACAGGACATGACATAGGCCTGAGAAACTGATTTTATTAGTACTTCCTTATTCCCCTTCGATAGTAGCTTTCACGACCATGAGTTAGTCCGATCCTGGAGTCTTTCTTGCACGAAGCTGAACACTTGCATTTTAGATCCACATATTTTCTTTGGTAAGCCCAGATACATACCCATTCCACCTTCTTGGTTGATATCAAGCGACCGTTTAAGGTCAGTTTTTAAGGATGCTACGACCTTAGAACCAAACAGAACTGAAGATTTTGATTTATTCAGTTGTTGTCTTGAGGCTTATCTGTAGACGTCAATGATTCTCATCAGTTCACTGCATTCACTTTGGTCAGCTCTACAAAAGAAGAGACTGTCATCCGCAAAGATTAAGTGTGGGATTGGTGGGCTTTCCCTCGCGATTTTTATACCCGTGAGCTTCTTTTCTCTTTCCGCGTTCTGAATCTGCGAGATCAAGACCTCCATACATAGGATGAAGAGGAATGGGGATAACGGAATCCTTGTCGCAGACCACATGACTGTATGATATATCCTTTTGCTTCCCCATTTATAAGGACACGGTAAGAGACTGACGATATGCAACACATGATAAGCTGTATCCAGTTCGCATCAAAGCCCATGTTTTCCATTGCAGTCTCGAGAAAACTCTTGGCAGCTGGGGTTCGTTCTCAGAGCATGAAACATCTCTTGCGCCACTAGGATATTATCAGTAATGAGTCTACGCGCCACAAAGGCCGATTGTGTTTCCGATATTAGCTGCGGCAACTCTTTCTTCAACCGCGAGGAGAGGACTTTTGATAAGATCTTATAGCTTACGTTGCATAACCTGATTGGTCTAAACTACGACATAGTCTTAAGTCTCTCTGTCTTCAGTATTAAGCAGATGTTAGTCTGGTTCATGCGCTCATCCAACTCTCCGGAGTTAAAAAAGGCATGTACTGTTTTAACTACATCTATCTCAACTACTTTCCAGAACCGTTGATAGGAGAGACTGATCATTCCATCAGGTCCTGGTGCCTTATTCGGGTTTAACGCAAACACTGCTTCCTTTATCTCTGTCTCCAATGGTTCCCTGGTCAGAGATGCATTCATCTCCTGAGTGACCAATGCGGTAATAAACCAGAATGCTTCTTCTCGTTCACTCGGAGCTGATGCCATGAAGAGAGTATCGAAATATTCAGTTGCCATGCCTTCAATGCCCTCCTTTGTTTCCACCCAATTCCCTAGTGAGTCCATGAGTTTAGTTATTCGGTTCCGGACTCGACGCTGTTTCATCTTAGCATGAAAAAACTTCGTGTTTCTGTCTTCTTCCCTTAGGCAAATAGTTATGCTTTTTTTTGTTTCCAAAATAGTTCTTCCTCTCTGTACGCTTCGCATAGCTTCCATTGTAACTCTAGCTCTTCCTCACTTGACATACTATCATCGTTTTGAGCTCTCCAGCTCCATCTTTAGCTTGTCAATGAGTTTCAAATTATTAGAGGGGTATTTTCTCTTCCATCGTGCGATAGCTTTGCGGCAGTTGCCTATCTTCTCAAATAATGGTGCCGGTTCCCTCTGGTATTCTTTACCCCATCCGTGTTTCCATGTATCCGAGAAATCTTCTTTTCCAAACCATCTCCTATCAAACATGAAGCGTCTGTGGCCTGTCGACTCTTTCCATTTAATTCGTACTATGATCTGAGCCCCATCTATTTATGATTCATAATTCAGTCTCTAAATGACAAGACTTCCAATTAGCAATAACTGTGTCAATTTCTTACTGAATCTTCTAAGCACACTTTAAATTATTTAGATAAATCAAATGATAAAATTGTTTTTTAGATAAAAAAAATAGGTACATTGTATCATCAGATTAATTTTATGCTAATAATAATGTACATCTTTAATATTGAATCTTTATCAAAGATTAGCCACTATCTATCAAGGGAATCATAAAAAAACATATTTTACTTAAAATTAATATTGTTTTATAATTCTGACTGCAGAATAATGTGAACTACAAAAATTACAACTAAACAAGACTAACTATCTGGTTATAAATAAATAAAACATATAACACAATAGTTATTAAGAATGAAAAGGGATTTAAGGAAAACATATAGCTATTTCTGTAAATGAACAATTTGTTTTCAAAAAAATATAGTTAATAAACAATATATGACATCTGACAAAATGTAGTAAGGGAATACATAGAAAATATAAAAAAAAAAACCCTACCATTATTGGAGTCGAAGTGTCGCACTTTCAAATACTTTACTAATAGCAGTTATTAAAAATACTACACTGTCAATATACTTCTTATGATGTGGGCCTTAAAACAAGTTAATAAAATTGTGGCCTAAGGCATATGCTTCTTGTGCCTTAGTAAGGAACGGGCCTGCATTATAGCATCGTCCCTTGCGATACGAAAGATTAATAAAAAATGACAGATTATCTATCTATAGAAAAATATGACACATCTAAAAAAAACAAGAACAAATTATCATTTAAACGCGTTTCCACATTTCTCATACAAGAACAAAACTCTTTGATTTAATTCTTCGCAAATTAGCTTGTAATTGTCAATCTTGTCTACTTGAAGATGCAAAGTATAGAAGAGTCGTTCTCCCCAAGAACTCGAAGATGAAACATCCATGACAACTAACCCATCTTTTTCTAGTCCGCTCAGCACATTATATATCGAAAAATTATGAATCTTGGACGATGAGATTTGGACCGTCACTTCATTGTCTCTAAGCTCAGTCGCAAAGATGGTTGTGGCATAACTAGAAAGCCCCTTTGGCTGCGGCATAACGTAACGTTCACTTCATTGATATGAAACGTATTCAGATGACGTATCAGAGCCTGGAAGACATGAACGAAGAGCTGAGAACACAGAGTTGGTTTTCTTGCGACGATCACGCTCATTAGCATTGTGAATAAGTTTCTTGATCACGACTGAATTGTTGTCTATTCCATTTACCTCCGACGAAACAGTAACCCCTAAGCTGGTCTGACGATGAACCATTCCATACGTCTTCTGTACATGTAAGTCATGAAACTCTTTGCTGTGGTTATCGCCGATCGACAATGTTGTAGCTCTCGTACTCTCCCGTTGACTCCCACACAAAATTTGGGAACAATGGAGAACCCAATGTACACATTTTTGCTTGATTAAAGACAATTGGTCTTAGGTATTATCCTGAATTATAAGTGGAACATGATTGACCTGCGACGTATATATAGAGAGCTAGTATTAACCAACCAAACAAACACATCTATGTTGTCACATCAAAAGGTAACAAACTATACTACAAGTAGCTTTTAAGTGTTATAAGACGCCGTACAACCCGTACGACCTGTAATCAGGAATGTCATTTCGTAAGCATATACCACAAGCATATACGGTATACCACACGCATATCTCATTTGATAATGTGGGCCTAGTATCTGGGGCAGGTGATTACTGATAAAAAAAATACAACTTGTGTCAGTTTTCTAAAACAAATATTCTTCTTTAGAAAAAAGTCATTAAGTGATGTCTAGCCAAAAAAAAGTTGGTTTGATTTAGATAATAATTTCAAAATATCAATATAAAACGAAAAAATGTTTTCAATTTTATGACAATTTATATTATTCAGTATATCTTACAATTGCTTCATAACTTTTATATAGCTATAAAATTTTATGTAGCTTATAATGATTTAACATGCGATTTTTCATTGAAACTTAAAATTTGAATATAAATAGTAAAACAACTCAAAATGTTCAGATTTTTTTTTGTTTTAAGAAATTTTAAATATGTTTGTAATTTTTTTTTTCATGTTAAACATATCAACTGATAGTTATATTGGTTTGTTTTTGTACAATCATGGATTTCCAAAAAATTGCAGATTGTTTTCAGGTGGAAGAGTATTATATAAACAGATTAAAACCCAAAATGTTTGTAATATCTAGCACCAATTCAACTTTAAAAAAAAATGAACCTTTTTAATAGTTTGATTATGATTTAAGGGTCATACCACTATTTCAAAAAACTATGTTGTATAAATATTTAGAAATAATCACTTAGCATAGTCAGTATAAATTCATGAACAATGATTAATGACAAATTAGATTTCAATATGTTTATCTTATTCCTTTAGGACAACTTAGCCGTAATATATATACATGATACAAACCGTCATAGGCTTTAGCAATTAGGAAACTATACATAATAATAGATATGACCAAATCTCTATAATATATCCTCATAGATATTCTAATACCCCCCCCCCCTCAAGTTGGAGCATACAAATTTTGAATGCCTTACTTGAGAAGAAATGAATCAAACTCCTTTTTCCCCAAAGCCTTTGTAAGAATATCAGCTAACTGTTGTTTGGTCGAGACGTGAATTGGTTTAACAAGTCCCCGTATGATTTCGTCTCGTACAAAATGACAGTCGAGTTCCACATGTTTAGTCCGCTCATGGAAGACTGGATTTGAACTTATATGTATAGCCGGTTTGCTATCACACATCAGTGACATAGGCTCGTCATGAGTAATACCAAACTCAAACAATAATGACTTAATCCCCCAGAGTTCTGCTGTGATCTCCGCCATCGCCCGGTATTCAGCCTCCGCAGAAGATCTTGAGACAGTATCTTGTTTCTGTGTTTTCCAGGATATCGGTGAATCACCATAGTGTATTATCCAACCAGACAATGATCTCCGAGTCACTGGGCATGCGCCCCAATCAGAGTCACACCAGCCTCGAATATGCATCGGAGAATCAGCTCTAAGCAAAATCCCTTGTCCTATCGTACCTTTCAAGTAGCGAACAACCTTCAATGCAGCCAACCAATGCTCCGCTCTTGGTTTATTCATAAATTGCGCTAGAACATGTATCGAATAAGTAAGGTCCGGGCGAGTTGCTGCCAAATAAATAATTCTTCCAACCAATCGTCGATACGTCTCCGGATCTGCAAGAAACGGTCCATCAGCTCGACTTAGTTGATGATTTTGATCTATTAGTGATCCAGCTGGTCTGCAACCGAGAAGCCCAACCTCTGTAACAATATAGGTAGCATACTTCCTTTGACACAGATAAAATCCAGCCGGACTACGAGCCACTTCCACCCAAGAAATATTTGACAGGACCCAAGTCCTTCATACAAAAACATGTAGCCAAATAATATTTAAAATTCTGAATCTCTTGAGGTGAATTTCCAGAAATTATCAAGTCGTCTACATATACCAGAATTCTCAGTCGAATACCACGCTTAAAATATATGAATAAGGTGTAGTCTGACCGTGTCTGCTGAAAGCCATAAGTTCTAAGAGCTTCGGCCAGCTTCCCAAACCAGCAGCGTGGAGCCAGTTTGATTCCATATAGCGATTTCTGCAAGCGGCATACACGTGTTTCTCCAGGATTTCTGAAACCGGGAGGTAGTTTCATGTACACTTCTTCATTTAAATCTCCATGAAGAAATGCGTTGTGAACATCCATTTGATGAACTTCATGATTTTCTTTGGACGAAATATCAAGGAAAAGTCTTACTGTGGTCATTCGAAAAACGGGTGCAAAGGTTTCAGTGTAATCGATTCCTTCTTTTTGATGATTACCTAGAACCACAAGCCTAGCTTTGTAGCGTTCAATCGTTCCATCTGACTTATATTTTATTGTAAAAACCCATTTACACCCACGGGCTTTCTTTCCCGGAGGCAAATCCTCGAGTCTCCATGTGTTTGCTCCTTCCAATGAAGTTATCTCAGTATCTACTGCTGTTCCCCAACGTTCATCTTTCATTGCTTCCGCAAATGATCTTGGTTCCATATGAGTTGATAACGCAACCACAAAATCCAAGTGTTTCTGTGAAAAACAATCACATGAAACAAAATTACAAATTGGATAGATTGTACCTGAGGTTTGCTGAGGAGCTAGTGTCGAAGTAGCGAGAGAGGGGTTTGGTGTAGTTGTAACAGTCTGAACAATATAATCCTTAAGCCGTGTGGAGACAAATTTCTGTCTCTGTCCTCTCCCTAGCGTGACAGTTTCCTGGTTTTGAACTCCATGTTAAACATCAGCTGGCGTCGTAACAGTCGAGCTATCATGTTTAGGTTCCAGATCGATTGGAGGAGAAATAATTTCCTCATTATTGTCAGTGTCGAAGGTCTCATCTGTTGGAGGAGTCAGTAAATGTTCGTTAACTTCTTGAACTCTTTCAGTTTCTGCAAATGGGAATGTATCTTCCTGGAACACTATATCCCATTATACAAAGATTATTTTCTTTTCCAAGTCATATAATTTCCATCCTTTCTTTCCGTATGGATATCCTAGGAAAACACATCGCCTACTCCGTGACGCCAATTTATCTCCCTTGTGATCCAAGTTATGAGCATAAGCTAAGCATCCCAAAACCCGTAGGTGCTTGTTATCCTGGTGCGTGACCAAATAGAACCTCAAATGGCGTTTTATTCTTCAAAACCAGTGAAGGAGTACGATTAATTAAGTATGCCGCTGTGAGCACACACTCACCCCAATATTCAATAGGAAGACTTGCCTGAAACCTCAATATTTAGAATATGTCGATGCTTGCGTTCAACCCAACCGTTTTGTTGCGGTGTATGCACACATGAGGTCTCATGAACAATTCCCTTTTCTTGAAAATATCGTGTGAGACACATAAATTCAGTTCCATTATCTCTACGAATCCGTTTCACTTTCTTAGAGAACTGCCTCTCTATCATAGCGACAAAGTTGCGGAGCTGTAGTGGTGCCATAGTTTTGTCAGATAGTAGATACAACCACACAGCCCTGGAATGATCATCTACTATAGTCAGAAAGTATCTAGTTTCGCAAAATGCAGTGGTTCGATATGGTCCCCATAAGTCACAATGTATTAAATCAAAAACTTCATTCGTATTATCTAAACTGTCTGGAAAACATTGTCTAGTTTGCTTTGCGCGAAAACAAACTTCACAACTCGTAATAAAAAAACTCATTACTATTACTATTAGAAGAAACACGAACTCCAGGAATGCATTCCGTAACTTGTAGAGACGGATAACCCATACGGTTATGACAAGGAACCAACTCATTTCGAATCCCAGTTTGCAGAGAAGTAACGATCTCAAGTCCTCGAAACTGGTACAACCCCTCTCCCTTTCTTTCACCCGCTCCAATCAGCATCCTCGTAGCTCGGTCCTGCAAAATCATGAGTCTTTCAGTGACTTGTCCCACCAAATGATTATCAGTAACAAGTTGTCCAAATGATATCAAGTTCATATGAAATCCATCAACATAAAAAACATTCTGCAGAAATAGTGTAGATGTAAGCCGAGCTGTCCCCTGTTTAAGGGATATACCATCTGTTCCAGCCGCCAACATCACAGATATATGATCAATATCTCGAATATTTTCCAGTAAATCGAGTCTCCCTGTCATATGGTGAGTTGCTCCAGTATCCATAATCCAAATTGCATCATGACTCTTACCACTTAGATGACTTGTTGTTTTTCCTGCATTAATCAATTTCTGAATCGTTGCCCATTGCACATCCGAGAGCCCGCTCAGTCCTTAACGATCAATGTCTGTCAGGTCTGTGCTTTGTCCAATCGCAGCAGAGTTGATCTGGGTTACATTCGCTTTTGGAGGATATCTACGACCACGACCAGCAGAGGAAAACGAACTTCCTCGGTTCTCAGATATGTTTCGTGATCTATCTCCCCACCATTCCGGGAAACCAATAAATTTGTAGCACGCAGAAGCTTCATGTCCCATACGCCCACACACCGAGCACTTCTTCGACATATCGCGAGTTCCTTGTCCACTTCGATAGCCAAAAGGTTCACCTATACTTGGTTTTGTCACATCCCGTGTGTGCTCATTACCTTGTCTGTTATTTGAATTAGTCTGAGCTGCGAAGCTCATTACCGAGGCATCCGTTGTTGTGTTTAGACGCAAGGTTTCGTTCTGTGTAATCGTTTGGTATACACTATCCAAACCCGGGAGTGGAGTAATTTCACAAATATGTGATCTGATGACGCCGTGAGTCGAGTCGTCTAAGCCAAACAGAAAATCATGAACTCGTAAGACTTCTTTTTCCTTTTCGTGTGCAGTATTAAGATCACACTCACACTTATTGCAGGTGCAAACTTTGGTGTTCATACACTCTGCTATTCCATCCCAAAGCTTCGTCAAACGTCCAAAGTAATCATCCACCGTTGAGCCATTATGCTTACAGGTCGCAAGAGTGTTCCGGAGCTGCTGCAGTCGAGCTCCACTTTTGAGAGAGAACCTCTTTTTGATTATATCCCAAAGATCTTTGGCGACTTCTCTTGTAGAAATAGAAGACCTGATCTTTGGATCAATTGTCAGCTTGATCCATCCCACCAGTAGATGGTTGTTTGCAGTCCAATCTTCAAGGTAAGCTGAGTCTGAAGCATGTTTCAGTATGCTTCCGTCCAAGAAGCCAAAATTTTTCCGAGAGCTAAGGGACATTAGTAGATTGATAGCCCACTCGTCATAGTTCCCGTCATTGAGTAGTGGCTGAGATATCACAGCTCCAGGATTATCATTCGAGCTCAAATCATACGGAGATATGGTTTTATATTTCGGATCTTTCGTCGTAAGCGCCATCGTGCACTTCTGTTGATGTCAGAGAGAGGGCTCCCTTGCGAT